CCTCTAAGCGAAAACGATAAGGTAAGCTCCATATAGGCTGCCTCACTGACAGAGACAGAGTTCCGACATTCGTTAGCGATTGCTGCTGTCAGTACAGAAATCAGAAATCATGCTCTAGGGCTTTCCCGACACAATCGCTGCTCGCGCTTGCAAAAATGCTTGAATATCCGTTTGCGAATGCGCTGCTAAACTCGAGCGAGGCGGCCTGAGAACGCGGAAGGTGACACTGTCACTGGGACAGCCCTATGCACATGGTTGCTGTTTGACAACACCTACTATGCATTATTGAAGGCGGAACTCAAGGAGCTTCGAAAAGAAATAAGAAAGGAGGTCCGCGCGAACGTCACCAAGCTCATTGGTGAACTGAATGCGGCGTTGAACGAGCAGATTGCAATTGTCGACGACAAGTCAAAGACTGTCGATGAAAAGATCAAGGCTCTTTTGGAACTGAGAAAGGGGAAACCAAAGGTCAGGAGAAAAGTGGGCACATTCGCTTGGTTTATTTTTTACTTGTCTAGGTGTACAACGTTTTGTGGTCAATGTTCGAAAAATACATTCCGCCCAAAATTTTCTACAAGAGGTATGAGAATGCCAGCGAGACCGAAAAGGTAAGTTGGTGATCGAAAAATATGTACTTACGAGTTTCGTGTAAGGCAGAAATAGATGAAGCGAAAAAAGAAGTCCGAGCGAAAATCACCAAGCTTATTGGCGAATTGAGTGCAGTGTTGGATAAAAGGAGTGCAATTCTCGACGATGAGTCAAAGAATCGCGAAGATAAGATAAAGGCTCTCTTGGAGCTAAGAAAAGAGAATCCAGACGTAAATAACGCAAGAAGGTTGATGTCTCAAGTGTTTCCTTTCTTTTTAGGCCAGCGACATTTTGTATGTCACGTTTACGCAGTTCCTTCCAAAAAATAATTTCTTTGGAAAATCAGAAAGGAAGCCGTTAGATGAGCTTGACAAAGTAAGTGATGTATTAGTATTTCCTCGCGAAAATATAGTTACCAATTTTTGAGGAGAAATGGAAAAAGCTGCTTAAAGAAATTGTAGCGAACACGACCAAGCTCATTGGTGAACTGAATGCGGCGATGGACAAACAGATTGCAATCATTGACGACAAGTCGAAGACTTTCAAAGAAAAAGGCAAGGCTCTTTGGGAGCTAAGAGAGGAGAATCCGAAGGTTAAGAGGAATGAGGGTCGACTGACTTGATTGATCGTAATTCTTCTAGGTGTACAAAGTTTTGGGGGCCGTCTACGAGCAATTTACACCAAAGCTTAGACATCTCTGTAAAATATACAAGAAGCTCAATGATAATGAAAAGGCAAAGTTGTATTGTCTAGTAGCAAATAGTACCTAATGTGAAAGGTTCAAGGAAAAAGTAAGCGAAGCGCTAAGGGAAGTCCGGCCAAACGTCACCAAGCTCATTGGTAAATTGGGCGCAGAACTGGATAAAGGAGCCGCAATTCTTCTCGACGACTCAAAGACACCCAAAGAGAAGCTGA